TTTCGGGCAGTCCCAGCATGCCTCCCGGGATGGTGTCTGCAGTTACCCATACAGGGATGTAGGGGTGTGGAGTTTGAAGCGTGCCCTTTGTGCTTAGAACGGAGGTCCAGGAAGGAGCTGCTAAGGTGACTTGGCCACTCACTGTCTTGCACACTATCAGTAGGGCTCCTGAAACACCTCCCCTTTCTCAGGGAGGTGTTTGGGGGGGGGTGGCTTCTGGCCTGTGCTAGGGGGCCCTGAATCCCGATGACTTTCTTGTGCCTGGTGCCCTGGAAGCCACAGGTTCTGGGTATCTTGCCGTCACTCGCCCTGGCTGTTAACGGGACAACCGCATTCTTCACTGTTAGAGGTGTTCCTTTCTGTTCTGTCTTCAGTGCTAGGGAAGGGGGGGTCTTTCCCAACAAAAGAATTTTATTACCTGGTTCAGCTGATAGGGGAGGTGGCAGTTTGCTCCCTGTAAGGCAGGAGTGTAAACACAGGAGCACCCAGGAGCTGCCTCGGGCCCCAGGGGCCCCAGATGTCCGGAAGGTGAGATCGGGGCAGTCAGCAGTGTCTGTGGGATTCTGGGATGAAACTGTGTTCCCCACAATGTGTAGGGCAGGGCTTCGCGTCAGAGCAGCTGCCCTCGGCTGCCTTCACTCCTGCCCCTGAGGACAGGCATGGCATTTATAAGAAATCTACTTGCACTTTGTAAAACCATCTCTCAGCTGGGCTTCTTCCTCATCCTCTCTCCAAAGCTCCGAGGCTTCACCACCTAATGCTTTTTCTTGGATGTATTGGGCCTCCTCCTGGGGCCATACCAGAGAACTCGTCTCACAGCTGCTCATGTGCTTTGCCTTCTCAGCCCACCGAAGATCCTCCTTCAACTTTGAGTGCTTGCGCCGGCAGAGCAGCCAGGACGAGGTCCCAGTGTCCCCTGCCTTCCCTCACCGCACCGCCCTGCCTCTGCACCTGATACAGCAACAGGTGAGCTGGCCCACCTGGCTTTGCTCCTCCACCCTATGGACTCACCCTCAGGACATCGCCTTCCCCTTGTCTGCCAGCACCAGGGGGAAGAAGAGAACCTTCACATACACTGGGTTCAATTGTGTGACAACCTTGGGGACACTGTCCTGAACCTTATTGTGTGGTTGAGCAGACATGAGGGACAGTAGGTGAGTGACCAGGTTGGCATGTGAATCCAAGGCTGCCATCTGTTCTCAGTAGCGAAGACCGGGCCTTGCACAATTCGTGGCCCACTAGACTGACCCTGAGCGAGCAGCACTGCCCTTCGCCCGCTCTGAGACAACGTGGTGCAGAGAGAAGGGCCTGTCCACAGTGAAGGCAGCTGGATGGGAAGGCGCAGGGCTGGAGCCTGCTCACCAAGGCTTTGCCTCAAGGCCAGCGATTCTTCCTGTCCCGAAAGAGCACATCAGAGGTGCTGTCCACCCGTGTGTGTCAGGAAAAGCGGGGGAGGTGGAGAGCAGCCCCGCGTGGTGCGCGCCCAGTCTGTAATGGGCAAAGCCAGCTCTCTGGGTGCTTTCCTGCTCCCAGCGCCCCGAGCACATAAACAGTAGCTGCCACTTCCGATTTTCTATTTGAGTATTACTGCCAGCTCTTTACATGCATTTTGATTTGTGTTCTGCCTTCTTGTGGAAGGAGGACAAGTCCTGGGAAGGCCCAGGTAGGTCATCAAATGCCACAAACCAAGTAGACATGGAAATATCCCTGGGCATGTGCATGAACATGCCCTCCCTCTGCTTACCTGCCCTGGCCCAGGGCCTGTGTGCACCGCCTTCCTTGTGCAGCTTGCAGACCGGGCCGCAGGGTCTCCCTGTGCACAGTGGGATGCCGAGGCAGATCTGCTGGGGTGTCACCAGAGGTGGGAGAGCAGGGCCTGTACCTAGTGCCAGAGAGCAGGCACAGGCCGGCCATGTGGTGTGTTGTGCTAGAGAACAGCTGTGTTGCCCTGTGGGTGCTGGGACCCATTAGTTTGCCCTGAATGTGCTCCATATTCAAACCACAGGGAGCATGTTCATACACCCAGCTGGTAGGTCTTTCCTGATGCCTCATTGTTCTGAAGTGATTTCATTCGTTAGCAGTTGATTCCTTCTTGGGAACAGCCATAGGAAATGAATGTGGATTTGGGGGAAGAGAAAATGCAGTCTGCCAGAAAGCCAGATTTTTACTGCCAACTCACTTAGTGTGCTCAGTGTGTTTTCATAGTCCTCCTTAATGCCGCCCCTACAGAACAGGGCCCCCCGCTGGGTCTGCCGTGAGGACGCCTGAGGCCTAGACCCACTCCCCACTCCCCCTTTCTCCTCAGGTCATGGCAGTTGCAGGCCTCGATTCAAGTAAAGCCCAGAAGTACTCGCCGAGCCACTCAACCCGGTCATGGGCCACCCCCCCAGCGACCCCTCCGTACCGGGACTGGACACCGTGCTACACCCCGCTGATCCAGGTGGAGCAGTCTGAGGCCCCGGACCAGGTCAACGGCAGCCTGCCGTCCCTGCACCGCAGCTCGTGGTACACGGACGAGCCTGGCATCTCCTATCGGACTTTCACACCAGCCAGCCTGACTGTCCCCAGCAGCTTCCACAACAAAAACAGCGACAAGCAGAGGAGTGCAGACAGCTTGGTGGAGGCAGTGAGTATGGCAGCCTGCAGGCACAGCAGGGGTGGCATCGGGAGAACCGCACAGAACGGGAGCAGGCGGTGGCTCTGAGGGCGGGGGAGGTCTGAAGCCAGGCTCCTTGGCTTCCAGCCTGGACACGACTCACTTCCTAGATGCAAGGATGGTACTGACGGCATGAGGGTAAAACCACCACCACTCCTGAACCTCATAAAGTAGCCACACTCAGGATCTATGTGCTGTTCCTGCAACTATTACCAGTTGATACTAAAAGATTCATCCCCAGTAGTTTCATCCTGTGGGGCTACTACAAGTATATAGTTTTTGAGCATCATGTCATTTCAAAGCCAAAGCCATTGACATTGACATTTAGTTACCGTGTATGAGATCGAGCGAACATGACTGGCTGAGCCCTGCCTAGAAGCACATCATACAGTGAGTGCTTGAGGTGGGTTTTCTGTCATTATAACTCATTCATGCCGTTGATCCTCTTACCTGTGCAGGTCCTGATATCCGAAGGCTTAGGACGGTATGCAAGGGACCCCAAATTTGTGTCGGCAACAAAACACGAAATTGCCGATGCCTGTGACCTAACCATTGACGAGATGGAGAGTGCAGCCAGCAACCTGCTTAATGGGACCATGCATCCCCGGGCTAACGGGGACCTGGGCCCCATCTCGAGCCGGCAGGACTATGAGCTCCAGGACTTCGGGCCAGGCTACAGCGACGAAGAGCCAGAGCCCGGGAGAGAGGAGGAGGACCTGGCGGATGAGATGATATGCGTCACCACCCTGTAGCCCCCGGGCAGGGGCAGACTGGCTCTGCCCTCGGGTGCGGTGCCAGAGGGCCAGGGAAAAAGTGCCTCATAGTTAGGAAAGTTTAGGCACTAGTGTGAAGTCCATATTCAATTAGACTTTTGTACAAGCGATGTCATGCCTCAAGGAAGCCATAAACCTGGTGGGCACAGTTGTGAACCTGGTGGGTTCACGTGTGGGGCCTCGGCCGTGGGAAGCAGCAGGTCCAGCCTGCTCACGGAGGACGGTGCCGAACGGGCCCTGCCCTCACGGCCCCCCCGCCCCAGGCACAGCGGGGAAGGTTAAAGGTGATGGCCATCACCAGACCTGTGTCATTACCTCAGCCATTGGTCTAGCATATCAGACATTCACTGGGCCCAGCATATCCATTTTTAAACCCTTCCCTTCAGAATACACTGCTTCCTGATCCCCGTTCCGAAGTACGTCAGGACCTGCCTACCAGCCGTCACCCTGAGAGGGACGCAGGACCTAGTAAGCAAGGTTCTCTATCATGTGACACCGGTTTACATGTGAGAGCATCACTCAGATGGTTGCTTTCTGGCCGTCAGGCCAAGGGCAACTGTAAACTGGAATAATAATTCACTCGCAACCAGGTCAACTTAGATACGCTAGTTTGTTTAAAAATTATAGATTTACTGTACATGACTTGTAATATATTATAATTTGTATTTGTAAAGAGATGGTCTATATTTTGTAATTATTGTACCGTATTTGAACTGCAGCAATATCCATGGGTCCTAATAATTGTAGTTCCCCACTGAAATCTAGAAATTATTGGTATTTTTACTCAGACTAAACAGAAGTAGAAGAAATAGAGCCAATTCTCATTTATCTGGTGAAAATCTTTTGGGGTTAAAATTTTAAGTTCAAAAGAACTTGACACTGCAGAGATTTTTTTCTAAGATATTTTGAGTCGCTATGAGTCTGTCTTTACACGAGATACACCGGGATGACTGGCGACCTGCAGTCTTTTCCTGGGGCAGGAGCGCTGTGATTTGGTGGTGCACCTTTTGCTGCACCCCAGGTTGCAGCTGTCTTCCCTTAACCCCCTCCCCCACAAGCTCACAACAGGCTGGGCCACGGCCCCTTACTCTGACCCTGTGGCATTCACAGCGGTGGGTTTTGCACCTGCCCCCACAGGACACTTTTGCAGGTGAATGAAGTTCCTCTGCTCATGTCCCCTGGGAAATGGTGATGCTGCTGTCGAAGACGTAAGGAATGCTGGAGAGGAGGGGTGGAGGGAGCAGGGGGCATGACCATCTACAAAAGTAGAAGGTTGATGTCTGGACAAATCGTACTGTTGCCTTTTTTCAAAACACTGCTGTACTGTGTGTTCTGAGGGCTTTTATATGCAACTGAATGAGGGCTGAAGTTCCCACTAGAATGCACCCCCCACTCTGATCGTCCTTCCCGTGCAAAACCCACTCTTGGATCACTAGACCTGTCAAGACTTCCTTTTCTGTTCACAGAATTATGCCGACTTTGTCCAGACACCTTGGCAGGGACTCTGCAGTCAAAAACAGGTAGCAATTTTTGGTTCAAAGTTTTTAAATATTACATAAACAACCTGTTCATGGTTTTGTTTGTTTTTTTTTGTAAATAACAATACTTTGTTATGAAGACCTTACAAACCTCTTCTTAAGATATTCTTACTCCAGGTCCAGGCAAAAACTCTTCAAGGTTTGTAAATGACTATTTCCTGACGTAAGTTCTTTTCTATTAAAATGTAAAATGTTCTTCAGAATAAAGCTGTGTAATAATTTTATTGTATTTGGGCGCTCTCCTTGCAAAGTGTTGGCATTTGCCGGTGAGAGCCTTGGAAGGGCGGGCACTCTGTGAGGGCAGTTCTGTGATTGTGTAGATTTTTTCTTATTCTCGTGGCTCCTTCGATGCCTATGGCAACTTTACACCAGCTGCAGAGAGCACTGTTTCTCCTAAAGGGCTAAACCACTGTGACCATCACCTCGGACTCTGTTTCTCTCTTAGGTATTGGTCTTACTGTGTGGCTTAACATCGCCGATCCAACCGCCTGCCAGGGCTGACTTTCCTGGTACAGGCAATGCTGTTTTCCAGTCAGTACTTAAACACTGGCATTTTTATAGGCTGCACCACTCCTACTATCTGTCCGCTTTAAGCCTGGTTCAACCTATCATCTAACATTAAATTTTTCTTTGTAAGAAAAATTTGAAGTTGTAGAGCATGGTTTCTTTCTTGGTTTTAGGAAAGTGTTGACGATGAAATGTCTTTCCTTTTGGTTCCTTCCACTCCCTCAAAAATGTCATTTTGTTGTGTCTCCGGGAATAGTACAGTTAGTTACTGTAATCTGTTTTTCATATCACAAAGTGGACATGGCAGCTCTGATTTAACTCTTAGTGAACAAGATTTCCTCATTAATAACCGTCTCTGTGATTTCCATCCAGACTTGGCCCGGCCGCGCTCCCCAGCTCCATTCCGAGGTGTTTCGGCATCAGTGCGAGCCCAGGAAGGGTGGGTTGTCAGGGCCCCTGGAGTGTCTCTTGGTGCGCAGTGGGCTCGGCCTACTGGACGGGCCCTCTCTACTGCCGACCCCACGCATGTGAAAGAAACCGGGGCAGTTTATGTCATGGGTTTTTTTTTCACAGGCTATACTGTGGTCAAAGGTGCCTTTTCCAATTGTCTTTTCTACAAAGCTTTTTATTTTTATATGGGCAGTTTGTTCTAAAAACAGTTAGCAATAGAGGTATCATCACGCAATAGCTCTGGTCCGGTATCAGACTGCCCCAACTCAACAGAGTCTCCAGCTACACTTTCATTCATGGAAAAATTTTTTCTCTCAAATTATATTCCTTGTATACTGGAAACTTTAAAGGACAGGTGAGAATGAGGAGCAGGCTGGGCCCCTTGCTTCCAACACAGGAACAAGGTGAGCACGGTCTTCAGGATGGTGACCGGGGACAATATGGGAAGCCTGCCTGGGTCTCAACACAGGGCCAGCGGAGAGGCGGTGTGGTTTTCTTCATGATTTTTAAGAGAAGCAATGTAGGTATCAGATCTGGTAAGTGGACTCAGCGGAAATAGGAAATGACCTTTGGGTGGAAGACTGTGGTTTGGCTGGAAAGAAGAGTCCATTTGAATTTATGGAAATGATGAGTCCTGCTGCCTGCACTGGAAACAGAAAGCATGTAGTCACGGTGCCAGAGTTCCTTCTTCCGGGACCCGCCGTTCCCTGGGGACGCAGCTGCTGCACCCAAGCGTCCCGTCCCTCGTTGTCAGGAAGACCCTTCTGCTGGTGCTACATCGGCCCAAACACAGGCGTCAGTGCTCCTCAGAGCCTGACCACCGGGCACATACACAGCTTCCTGTTATGCTTTTGAAACCACTTTTCGTAGATTCTTTCATTGTGCAGGGACTGCAAGCTCTTGCTCACAGGTTTCAGTGACAGTCTGTCCGACTCCTCGAGAAGCTGGGTGCTGGCCCCATGTCTGTGCGGGCAGCCTAACTGTGGGTCCTCCCCGCCCCGCAACTCCAGCAGGCCCCGCTCCTCCTCTCTGGCTTCCTGAGACGACAGCCCTCGCCTTCTGAGATGGTGTGGCAGGTGTCCACACAGCAGTTCTTTTGTTCCCTGCCATAGATGGTGGCTTTGGATAGCTTAAAAAATCAATCCAAAATGCATTTCGTTTTCATTACCTTGTAAGAACCATCTGGATAAGGCATTTCCAGTCAAAAATAAATGACTGGATTACACTATTTAATTGTAAGAAGTTCAAAGATCAAAGAACTGTTCTGAATGCTACTTCTATGTGGTTTTTCTCTCCACCCCACCCCCAACTCAAATCTGACAGTTTTTCTCTGTTGCATTTTTACAGGATCGGGCAGCACATTTTACTTGACTGCCTTCCGCGTCGGGTTTGGCTCCATCCTGGTCTGTTCCCATGGACATCTGCAGAATAAAAATCAGCCAGCCTTGTCCAGCGCTGAGTTGTTTCCCCGGGCTGAGGGGGAAGGGTGTTCTTGGGCTGGCTGCTTTGGTGTGGAGCAGTGATCTGGTATGTGGGGTTTGTGCTGGGTTTCAGGCTTCCTTTTAAAATGGGAAATTGTGAACCCTGTAGTCGTGAAGAGTCCTTCCAGACCATTCTCTCCTTGAACAAGGTTCAGAAATCTTCTCAGGCTGATGGTGTTTGGCATAAACCAGAGCATCAGGCAGGTGGGCCACAGGCCACTCAGAATGCCCCAGTGAGCACCAGCTCCTGCTGCACTCTGGGAGTGAGGTCAGGAAGCAGAGGAGCCAGGAGAGGCCTGTGTGTCCTTGCAGGCAGCTCCCTCTCTGAACAAGACGCCGGAGGCTTAGGCACACATCCCGGCTGTGTTCCTTAACTATGGCGTCTCTCGTGGCCTCAGCTACAGCTTGCAGCCTGAGGTGGAGGATGCCCCCTTAGAGAAGGCAGCACCCAGCCTCTGTGCATAGCACCCTGCTCTTTGTGGGGCTTGCCTTCAGAGGGAGATCTGGGAGAGAAGCTCTTCCCTCAGGTCCAACCAGGACAAGGTGGGCATCGGAACTCTGGGTTGGAGAGCGCCGCGGAATAACACAAGACCTGGTAGGAGTTACCTGTCCTCCACTGGCCTTGCCTTCCCCAAAGGGCCCGCAGGAAAATCCGAGGGAAAAGGAACCTGACTCACCGACCAGTACTGATTTTGTTTCTTAAGAAATGACCCAAGTCTCTACCATTGGATCCTAAACTTATAGTTTTAGGAAAGGGCGTTTGGACAAGGGCTGTGCGGGCCCTCCAGGCTCGTCAGGGGGCTTATCAGGCAGTGACTGCCTCAGCGCTGGGTGGTCAGGGTCTCGGGTTTATACACAGGAACATCCTTGTCCCAGAGTGCAGGCTGCCCCCTAATGATGTCGGCTGCTTTCTCTGCAATCATGATTGTGGGGGCGTTCAGGTTGCCGCTGACCACGCTGGGCATGATGGAGGCGTCGACCACCCTGAGGTTTTCCACCCCAATCACCCTGGTCTGTGGGTCCACCACGGCAGTGGGGTCGGAGGGTCGGCCCATCTTACAGGTGCACGAGGGGTGGTAAGCGCTGTCGGCCTTCGCCCGCACAAAGGCATCTATTTCCTTATCTGACTGGACGTGGCTTCCTGGCTGGAGCTCTTTCCCCCGGAACGGAGCCAGGGCTTCCTGTGCAAAAATTTCTCTGGTCAGCTTCACACACCTACGGAAGTCAGTAATGTCGGTTTCTGTCGAACAGAAGAAACAGGCGGACTCCTCTTACCATACTGGCCTTGCTGGAACGCTCTAGGCATGGAGAGGCTCAGGAGCTGCCTAAGGGGAAACAGTTCAGGACACGCAGGTCCAAGCCACCAGGCTGCTTGTCACCGACCAACCCCTAGGTGGTTACACGGAACACAAGGAAAGTCCCATGAAGCCCAAACAGATTATTCTAGCTGGACACAGCTTGCCTCCGAGGCCCCGGGTTTAAATCAGAGATCTGAATTTTCTTCTCTGTAAATTAGCGATGAGAACACGTGCCTTGCCTCTGCCACAGTGTGGCTCTGAGGGCCCGGCAAGTTTTTCCTGGGCAAAACCTGCCCGGTGGGGAGTGCTGCTTCTAATGCATGCACAGAGGCAGGTCCAGGAATATAATTTGCTTTTAAAGGATGCACACAGTAACAGCAGGAAAACCGGTCTGTGAGCTGTGTGAACGGTCAGGTTGCCTTGAACCTCCCGGTCCATTGTTTGAAGACTGCAGATCTCCCCCACTGCATAAAGTGATGCCCCAGGGTCACCCCCAGGGACCCAGGGCACTACAGAGCAGCCTGTGCTTTTCACAGCCCAGAACGATGGGGCAGAAGGAGTGACTGTCTCAGATAATGTGGCTCAGGGACAAATATGAACCCGTAAAGGCAGTCATTCCATCAATGGCCCAGGCCTAGGGCATACAAAGGTGGCTGGTGAATTACCTGTTGACAAGTAGTTGGGCTGCAGCACAGGGTGGTCCTGGGGGTTGGCGCTCCTCAGTTTGAGCCAGCCCACACTCGTGCCCCGCATGGTCCCCACATGCACCTAGATGAATCCAGAGGGAGCAGTCACTTCCATCAACTCTTCTACTCAGTTAGAGAGGTCCCAGGTTTCCTGTGGGTGGGACTCTATATCCAAAATCAATTACAAGCAGATAAATTTTAGCATTTGCCTGCATCTTACCACCCCCACCCTCCACAGTGATTAAAAACCACCTTGATGAATCATTCCAGCCTCTACACCTGATTGTCCAAAACTTTCAGAGCTGGCACTCCCTGGGCAGAGTTGGTGTGAGTGGTCCATTGCCAGGACTCAGTATGGAGAGTATGTGCCCTGAGCTGGGGGTGGCCTCCCCTTTCCCTGAGGTACTCTGAGCAGCTGTTGGGCAGGGCACTGCCACAAGGAGAGATGAGAAGATCTGTGTACCTGGTAAGCCTCCTGCTGGGTGGGGACACGCCCGTGGTCGATCACTTGGGATGGTAGGAAGTGGAACTGGATGTCTGGGTGGGGGACCCCAGGCTGGCTCCGGATGAACCCACCTGTTTCCAGGTGGGCTGTGGCTCCATCCCCTGAGGATTGGAAGAGGAGAAAGGCAGGGTATGGCAGACGGGCCGGCCTCACCCAGCAACACCACTTTCAATTTCAGCTACATGTCGAGGGTCTTCAGCTTTGCCTCTCCCCTGACTGCACTGCGAAGACTGCACTGTGAGGCCCGATGTCCCACGGGCATCCCTAACCTGGCCCAGCCTGTCCTCCTCATGAGTATCACGCCCCTGCCCCCTCCCCTGTGGCCTTTCCTTTCATATGAGGCTAAAGGCAGAAACTCGTGAGCCATTTCTGAGAAACCATCTCTTCCTCATCACCCACCATACAGCACATCAGATAATCTTACCGTTGGTTCCAAAACTGGCTTGAATCCATCTACTTGGCATTGACACCCAGACCCCTGCCTGGGTCCAAGCCCAGATCACCTCTTAACTGGTGGCTCTGGTGATCTTACCGGAACCCAGGCGTCCCCTGGTGCCTCCTGCAGCCCACCCTTCACACACAGCCTCGAGATCAAGCCCTCTCTCCTCCAACCCCCGCCACTGCGTCCTCCTCCATGGGCTGCCCCCTCCCTGGCCCAGCAGTTGTGTCTAGTCCAGGGGCCTTTGCACACATTCTTCCTGCCTTTCAGACCCTGCTTTCATAAAGCACTGTGCTCTAGTTTAATCAACATCCTGATCTTTCTTTCACTGTACTTAAAAGTTAGCATGTTTACCTGCTTCTTCCCATTGTCCCCATCATAGTGTAAATGGCTCAAGGATACCTGCCCTTCTGGCATGTCTCACCCTCTAGCCCTCAGTGCAAAGTAGGTGTGCAAGAAATGCACGCTGAGTGAATGAGTAGAATTTCAAAGCACCATATCCTGGCCAGACTCACTGGGACTCAGAAACAAGTGGAAAGTGCTAAGAAATGGATGCTGATTATACAGTCCAGCACAAAGTGCCTTTCTCCTGGCTCCTGAGACGCCTCCAGGTGTCCAGCACAAGGCCACCCCACCTGTCTGCAAGGAGGAACGACACCTGGCCCTGAGGAATCTCCCCTGGGTCAGGCCCTGAGCTACGGAGTCTGGTCCTCACACCAGCCCAAGAGGTGGGAACTCTACCCCATTTTTGCAGACAGGAAAGCTGAGGCTCCAAGAGCTGAGGAGCATGGCAGAGCTCAGCTTCAAACCACAATGTGGGGCCAGAGCCCTTGCTTGGCACCTCAGCAAGGAGGCTGAGCTGTCTCTGCCACAGACCGTCTCTGCCACGGTCAGGATTGAGCACACCCACCTGTGAACTTCCAGAGCCACTCCAGACCAATCCGGACCTTCCTCAGGGGCTTCTGTGCCGTGTGGAGGGTGATGGGACGGGTGCAGGCCTGCTGGACATATATCTCCAGGTGGTCTTGCAGGTTTTGGCCAACTCCTAACACAGGAGAGAGAGGTAAGGAAAAATGGTTACCAAGGGGGCTTAGCTGGCCTCTCAACATCCCCCTTGTTTTGAAAACTTCTCCCCTGTCTACTCATCTGCCAAGCTCAGTACCTAGGTCACAGCTTGGAGGTCACCTCCCAGGGACACCCTTCTGTACTCCCCACCAAGTCCAGCCCTCTCACATGTTGCCAAAGCCATCTGCCCTTGTCACGCACTCCCAGAGAAGCACCTGTGACTTCCAGGTGCCTTCCTGCCAGGCAGTACTTCCATGCGGGCAGGGCCCACACATGCAGCAGATACTGCTCAGTAAGCTGTCACTGAATGGCTGACAGCCCCACCCTCACCCCCAGCCTTGGGAAGCGGGGATGCAGCCCCTGTCATGTGTGCAGACCCTGCTTGAGCTCATCCAAGCTAAGGCCAGTCACATGGTAGGGGCTCAGCAATTGAGCCAGTCACTGGCTGGCCAGTGACTGCCATGCACCAGCACTTTTGCAGACCTTTTATGATGAAGGCTTACTGCAGAAAGGCCCAGGCCTCTGGGTGTGTGGGTTATGAGAGACAGCAAAAGGGACAGGCCCAAGGGCATCAAAGACAGTTTACAAAATAAATTTCAGAACTGGAGAACTGTCTGAACATGAAAAGCACACTCAGGAGCTCTGAGCTGGCATCTTTAACCAAGAGGAACTGCTGAGTCCTGAGGATGGAAAACAGGCCTGGCCCCTCTCACACACAGCTGCCCTGGGACCTGCTGGAGCCTGGCCCAGTGGGCTTCACACGTGCTCCCTGCTGGACAGGCATCACCTCTCAGTGGGTGGGGATGGCCAGGGGAGGGGGGAAAACATCATAAAGACTTGGGGGCCCTGGTCAGGGGAGAAGTGTCCCGGGAGGCATGAGGGGCCCGCAGGCTCATGAGTGAAATGTGACAGTGCTGAGGAGCACCGACTCCTGTCCCCTCTGTGCTAATGAAATATAATAAACCCTTACTGTCTAGCAGAGGCACCCTCCGTGAGCAGTGGAGAAGGAAACTCACCCGGAAGGTGGCACACCAAGGGGATGCCCAGTTTCTTGAGGTCGTCCGCATTGCCGATGCCTGAGAGCATGAGCAGCTGCGGTGAGTTGATGGCGCCTCCACTCAGAATCACCTCCTCGCTGACATAAGCCTGGAAGAGGCAGGGGCCAAGCAGGTCACACTTCCCTTCCCCAACAGGCAGACAGAGCCCGGAAAACATGGCCTGGACATGACATACCCAAGTGGGAAGAGGGTGCTTTGGGTGCTATGTGAGAGCTACCCACACCTTCAGCTACGTTGTGCAATCATAAATGAAGCATGATTCACACTCTGAACTGTTCTGTGACAGCTAGCTAGTAGTCATGGTCTTAAAAGCAGGACTGTGGGACTTAAACAAGAAACTGCACTCAAACAAGTGGTTTCAATAAAGGGAGCAGTGACCAGATTTTCAAGTGGGACGCCGAACAATCCTGATGCACTAAAAGGGAACAGCACAGTGCAGATGTATGGAGTGTGATCACGGTAACATGTACCAACCTCTGAAAAGGTGTGGAAGGTCCTGGGGGGCAGCTCTGAGGTGGGGAGTGGCAGACAGAGGCTCTTGGGGCACAACGGGCTCTTTGCAGGTGGCTAGACTGGGGGTTTCCTCGCCTCTTCAGGCCACTGCCTGAACCAGCCACTCACTCCTCATCACAGTGCTGGGGGAGACACAAACATGACTACTGTCCACTCCCTTCCTGCCGTCTGAGCTGCCCAGGCCCGGGGGTAATCGGCTCACCCTGTGGCTCTGGCCGTTCTTGACGTACTCCACACCCACGGCGCGGGTGCCCTCAAACAGCACCCTGTTCACAAGCGTCCGGGCCTCCGCCGTGAGGTTGGGGCGGCTCAGTGCTGGGTGCAGGTATGCGCAGGCTGTGCTCCAGCGCTGGCCTGCGGACAGAGCAAGGATTTCAGTCACTCCCCTGCCCTTCTGGCCCCTGCACACCCTGCATTAGTTCATGCATCTGAAAAGGGAGTTTGTCTTTCCCTTGATGGTGCCAGCTCTGCATTCCAAGCAAGGCTGAGACCAAAAGATCCTGTACAACTGAAATGCACATCTACCTGGGCCCCCTGCATGGTCTGTGCCTCAGTTTCCCCATCTGAAAGTGTCAAAGGAACTTTTGAATCATTTGGCCAGAGAGCTGAGTCGCCATTATCCATACCCCAGGGGTCGGCGACCCGGAGAATGCGGAGGTGTAACGCCCCCACATCATTTCTCCCGGACTGGGGCTGTATTTTCGTGGCCCGTAGGGGGTGCAATATGTTGATCTCCGTTGGCCTTGTGATAGCCCCAGTTTGTCCTCACTTACTGACCATGATGGGCACAGGAGGCATGGGGCTGTAAATTGTTTTGTTTTTTTTTTAAGGAATTACGTGGGAGATGGGGGATGGGCACCTTATACTACCTTTGTGGATGGTCATGTCCATCCAGCCGAAGCCTTCTTGCTGGAATCCATTCATGTCCTCGGTGAGGGGGTAGCCGGCCTGCTGTGCCGCCTGCAAGAATGCCTGGTGCAGCAGGTGGTTGGTCTTGCCCCGCGACACGTGCAGCGGGCCTTCGCCGCCACGGTACCTGTTGGCACCCAGCTCATGGCACTGTGCCTTGCGGAAGTAGGGCAGGCAGTGTGCATAGTCCCAGTCCACGGCGCCCTGTCGGTGCCAGCGGTTGTAGTCCTCGGCGTGCCCGCGGATGTAGACCATGGCGTTGAGGGACGAGGAGCCGCCCCACACCCGGCCCCGCGGCCAATATAGCACACGGCCATCCAGGCCTGCCTGGGGCTCAGTGTGGTAGTACCAGTTGTACCTGTCATCGCACAGGTTGGCTACGAGGGCCGCGGGCATGTGGATCTTCCATGAGAGCCGTTTGCTCCCTGCATACATGTCCTTGGGCCCAGCCTCCAGCAGCAGCACATGCTTATCAGGGTCCTCAGTGAGCCGACTGGCCAACACACAGCCCGCTGAGCCTGCACCCACCACCACGTGACTGTATTCGGCCCCGCTCCTGGAGGCCACACTGGCCAGAGCACGGATTCCTAGGAGCCACTGCTGTCCACGGGCTCCCCAGGGGCTCAGATGTCCTCGCCTCCAGCCTTGCAGGACACACCACATGCTTCTGGCCATGCCCTCTTACAAGAATGGAGGGGTATATGGTGGTTCACTTTTCCTGAAGCAGGGAAACAGGAAACATATTTAAAGCCTTTTAGGAAAAGGGGCATTAAATGTTTTAACTCAGCGTGCACATGCAGAATCAGCCCAAAGCTGGGGCAGACTCTGGTGCAGCAAGAGTCTTCCACAGCCTCACGGAGTAGTCTACGCAGGGCTGGGTGGCACAGGCCTGGCTCGCAGGTCCCTGCCCTGGGGGCCTAGATAAAGGGAGCAGAGGTACGGCAGTTACATCCCCACTGCAAGATCTGTGCTAGGGCTGGGGCACAGGAGAAAGGCCCCTTCCCAAACTTGGGGGGTCCCCAGAAAGTCCTCTCTGTGACAACTGTGCATAAATTTGTAGGCTAGGCAGGAGTCTATCTGCTGGAAAGCAGGGGAGGTAAGGGCTTTCCGGGCTTGCACTCATTCCTTATCCATTCGAGACAATTGCTGAGCCCCTACCATGTGCCAGGTACTGTTTCACCATTAGCAATACACAAAGAGGAAGACATCTGCCCTCAGAACGGATGGTCTAAGGCCAGAGAGACGGTTAAGAGAGACTTAGATAAGTAACTGATGGCAGGTCAGGGTGAAAGGCTTGAGGCTGTCGAGTTCAAAGCCTTTGACCTGAGAGCCATGGCATACACAAGAGGGCTTTTTGCAGGGGTGGGGTCAGAGCTTCTATCTCCAAAGATCACCCTACCGAGTGCTAAAATTCCAGCAAAGAAATGCCAGTAGCTTTTGCATGGTCATTTCCCAACAGTGTTCAAATCAATACCAATATGCTCGGTGTACAGAGATGGGGAAGAAAACATAGTATCCCTTTAAGAACTCCCTGACATGAGCACATCTGAGAAAGCTCAATGCATGAGGTTAAGGCAGAAAAGGGCTGCAACAAGAGAACTGAGAAACCTCAAAAAAAACCAAACCAAACCAACCAACAAAACCCCTGGTAGATCCTCCTGCTCCCTCCAGGAGCCTGCACCAGGAACAACCGCAGCCTACCGCTGGAGGTGGGCTAAGAGTTAAGAGTGCAGATCAAGATTCCCACCCGCCACTCCCCCCCATTCATGCAGGCACAGACGAAAGAGGCACCGAGGCCTCTGAAAGCTAAGACTGAAGCAGGAACTCTGAGAAGAACCTTCTAGCACTCCAGGCCCCATACGAGCCCAAGGTGGCAGCAGCTCAGCTTCCCTCTAGGTTAACTTGCCACCCCACACTAGTGACCTGACAGGATAAGAGGTGCTCCCTTATCCAGGCATCAGTATTGTTTACCTCAGTCCCTACTATCCAATTACACACAAGGTCCAGCATTCAATAAAAAATTAAGAAATGCACAAAGGTAAGAAAAAAAAGTAATTATCAAGAGATGAAATTGTTAACAGAACCAGACAATGGGATGGCCCATCCAGATGTTAGAACTATCAAAGACTTTGACCAAGTTAAATATTTAAAAAGATTTAGTCGAAAAGGTAGACAACGTGTTGGAACAGATAGTCAATTTCAGCAAAAAAAAATGGAAGCTATAAAACAAAGGGATGAACAGGAATGCTAAAAATAAAGCCCACATTATTGAAGATGAATAATTTGATTGGATACAGCAGAGAAAACAATGAAACTGGAAATCAGATAATAAGAAATTAGAAATATGAAGAGAATTAAAAGTGAAGGAGAAAATAAGAAGAGAAAGACTAGAGCAACTGAGAGGTATGGGTTAATATCAAACTATCCCAGGTACACATAACTGGAGTCCTGGGAGGATGGGGAAAAGGAAAAAGAAAGATGAGGAGAGACCAGGGGCAGCACAAGAAGCAGGTAGAGAGGGAAAGAAGAACAGAGAACAGGAGAGAAAAAATTTGAAGAGACAATTGCTGAGACTTTCCCAAAATCAATGCAAGACAAAACACTGCAGATTTGAGAAGCTTGGAGCATTCCAAGGAGGATTAATACAAAAGACCCCAAATAGCCACAGCAATCTTAAGAACAAAGTTGGAGGTATCATGCTGCCTGATATCAAACTATACTATAAGGCCATAGTAATCAAAGCAGAATGATGCTGGCGCAAGAACAGACATACAGCTCAATGGAACAGAATACAGAGCCCAGAAATAAACTCATACATATGTGGCCAATTAATAATGACAAAGGGGGCAAAAACATACAATGGGGTAGACGGTCTATTCAATAGATGGTGTTGGGAAAACTGGAGAGCAGCATGCAAAAAAATGGAACTAAACCGCCTTCTTACACCACACGCAAGAATAAACTCAAAGTGGATTAAAGATTTAAATGTAAGACTCAAAATCAAAAAGTTCCTAGAAGAAAACATAGGCAGGAAAATCTCTGACATTTCTTACTTTTTTCTGACATACTTCCCCAGGCAAGGGAAACAGAAGAAAAATATAAACAAATGGGACTACATCAAACTAAAAAGGTTTTGCCCATCAACGGAATGAAAAGACAACCCACTGAATGGGAGAACAAATTTGCCAATCATACTTCTGATAAGGAGTTAATATGCAAAACTTAATAAAGAACTCATATAACTTAACAGCAAAAAAAACAAACAAACAAACAAAACCCAATTCAATTAAAAAGTGGGCAAAGGAACTGAATAGACACTTCTCCAAAGAGGACATACAGATGGCCAGTAGACATATGAAAAGATGCTCAGCATCACAAATCCTCAGAGAGATGCAAATTAAAACCACAAAGACATCCCATCTCATACCAGTCAGAATGGCCATCATCAATAAATCAACAAACAAATGTTTGAGAGGACACGGGAAAAAAATACCCTCATGCACTATTGTTGGGACTGCAGATTTGTGCAGTCACTATGGGAAAGAGTATTGAAGTTCCTCAAAAATTTAAAAATAGAACTTCCCTATGGTCCAGTGATTCAAGATCTGGGTATGTATGTGAAGAAACCCAAAACACTAATTTGAAACACTATCTGCACCCCTGTGATTATTGCAGCATTATTTACAATCTCCAAGATATTGATGCAACACAAGTGCCCATCAACAGAGAAGTGGATAAAAGAGTTTGGTACACATATACAATAGAATATTACTCATATGTAAAAAAGAATGAAATCTCACCATTTGCAACAGCATGCATGGACCTAGAGGGTATTAAGCTAAGTGAAATATGTCAGAGAAAGGAAAACACCATATTATTTCACTTTTGCATGGAGTCTCTAGAAAATATAAACAAATAAACAGAAACAGACTCATAGAGAAGAGACTGATGGTTGCCAGAGGAAAGAGGGGTTAAAAGTCTGGGTGAAAAGGGTGAGGGGTTTGAGAACAGACTGGTAGTTACCAAATGATCACAGAAATTTAAAGTACAGCATAGGAAACAGCAATATTGTAATGTCTATGTATGGTACCAGGCGGGTACTGGAAATAATAGGGGAACACTTTGTAAAGTATGATTGTCTCTAGCCACTATGTTGTATACCTGAAACTAATACAAAATAATGGCAGAATAAACTAAAAAGAGACAGAATGAATAAAGAGCAAATAACAAAATTCAACCATATCACTAACTGCATTAAGTGTAAATATTCTAAGTACTTCAATTAGAGAGCAGAGATTGTCAAAATGGGATTTTTTAAAAAGCAAGACTCAAATATGTGCTGTGTACTCAAAAAACCCACTTTGAAAATAAAGACGAATACAGAAAATGGAAAAGTTACACCACATAAGCACTAGACAAGTAAGAGTTAAAGTGACAATATTAACTCTAGACTTCAGTACAAAGAATATCACCAGGGTTTAGAGGATATTTAAAAACAATAAAGGGGTCAGTTTACCATAAGACAAAACTATTCTAAATGTGTATGTGCCTAATAGAACTCCAAAATCATGAAGCAAAAGTCAGATATAAATGAAAGGATAATAAAGGAATAAATGCATAATTATATTCGGAGACGTCAATACTCCCCTCACAGTCACAGAAACATCTATAGGTATGCTCATCAGATCGCTCCTTTATGCTGGTGGATGCCACTGAGGAAGCCTCATTCAAGTCCCCTCTTCCGCACTCCTCTTGTCTAAGTCAGAGTCTCCCAAAGAGCCTGAACAGCTGTGGAAACTCTTTGTCAGAGGTTTGAGCTTTGTAACAACCAATGAGAGTCTGAGGGGCCATGCTGGACAATGGGGAAAGCTCACAGACCATGTGGTGATGAGGGATCCAAACACCAAGTGCTCCAGAGGCTTTGGGCTTATCACATAAGTCACTGGAGGAGGTGGATGTAGCCAGGAATGCGAGGCCACACAAGGTGGATACAAGAGTTGTGGAACCAAAAGGGCTGTCTGTAGAGAAGATTCTCAAAGACCTGGTGCCCACTTCACTGTGAAAAAGATTTTTATCATTGGTATTAAAGAAGACACTGAAGAACAGCACCTAAGAGATTATTTTGAGCAGTATGGGAAAAGTGAAGTGATTAAAATCATGTGTAAGGCAATGGAAAGAAGAAGGACTTTACTTTTTGTAGCCTTTGATGACCATGACTCTGTAGACAAGATTATCATTCATAAATACCATACTGCGAATGGCCACAACTGTGAAGTAAGGAAAGCCCTGTCTATGCAAGAGATGGCCAGTGCTTCGTCCAACCAAAGAGGTTGGAGTGGTTCTGGAAACTTAGGAGGTGGTTGTGGGAATGACAACTTTGGTTGTGGAGGAAACACTTTCATGGTCCAGGTGGCTTAGGTAGAAGCTGTGGTGATGGTGGGTATGGTGGAAGTGGGGATGGCTACGATGGATGGTTATGATGGTAATGATGGAAGCAACTTTGGATGTGGTGGAAACTACAATGATTTTGGCAATTATAACAATCAACCTTCAAATTTTGGATCCATGAAAGGAGGAAATTTTGAAGGCAGAAGCTCTGGCCCCTATGGTGGTAGAGGCATGACTTTGCCAAACTACATAAGCAAGGTGGCTAAGGTGGTTCCAGCAGTGGCAGCAGTAGCTAAGGCAGTGGCAGAAGGTTTTAATTACTGCCAGGAA